TATCTCTATCTCCCGTCTGATCGATGTTTATAAACAATGTTACTTTGTATCTCTATCTCCCGTCTGATCGATGTTTATAAACAATGTTACTTTGTATCTCTCCATCCCCCGTCTGATCGATGTTTATAAACAATGTTACTTTGTATCTCTATCTCCCGTCTGATCGATGTTTATAAACAATGTTACTTTGTATCTCTCCATCTCCCGTCTGATCGATGTTTATAAACAATGTTACTTTGTATCTCTATCTCCCGTCTGATCGATGTTTATAAACAATGTTACTTTGTATCTCTCCATATCCTGTCTGATCGATGTTTATAAACAATGTTACTTTGTATCTCTCATCCCCCGTCTGATCAATGTTTATAAACAATGTTACTTTGTATCTCTCCATCCCCCGTCTGATCGATGTTTATAAAACAATGTTACTTTGTATCTCTCTATCCCCCGTCTGATCGATGTTTTATAAACAATGTTACTTTGTATCTCTGCCTCTAGAACTCCAGGAGAGACATTTCACTTGAGAGGGTGACAACACTATTGTTTATGCATTCATCTCCTCCCCATCACCCCCATACTCAGGGACGGAGGTCAGTGATTGGTCGGTGGTGTCCCCCCCATACTTAGGGACGGAGGTCGGTGATTGGTCAGTGCCCCCCCCCATACTCAGGGACGGAGGACAGTGATTGGTAGATGATGTCCCCCCCCCCCCCATACTCAGGGACGGAAGTCGGTGATTGGTCGATGTCGGTGCCCCCCCCATATATAGGGACGGAGATCAGTGATTGGTCGGTGTCCCCCCCATACACAGGGACGGAGGTCGGTGATTGGTCGGTGTCGGTGCGCCCCCCCCCCCCATACACAGGGACGGAGGTGGGTGATTGGTCGGTGTCCCCCCCATACACAGGGACGGAGGTGGGTGATTGGTCGGTGTCCCCCCCATACACAGGGACGGAGGTGGGTGATTGGTCGGTGTCCCCCCCATACACAGGGACGGAGGTCGGTGATTGGTCGATGTCGGTGCCCCCCCATATATAGGGACGGAGTTCAGTGATTGGTCGGTGTCCCCCCCCATACACAGGGACGGAGGTCGGTGATTGGTCGGTGTCCCCCCGATACACAGGGACGGAGGTCGGTGATTGGTCGGTGTCGGTGCGCCCCCCCCCATACACAGGGACGCAGGTGGGTGATGGGTCGGTGTCCCCCCCATACACAGGGACGGAGGTCGGTGATTGGTCGGTGTCCCCTCCATACACAGGGACGGAGGTCGGTGATTGGTCGGTGTCCCCCCCCCCCCCGGTATCGGGGATTATATCGGAGATGATATTCGGTACTCACTTCATCTTGTCTGTGGCTCCGCCCCCTCCGTTGTGGCCCCGCCTCTCTCCGGCTGGTCACGGCTCTTTCTTCCCCTCATTGGACGCCAAGGACTCTCAGCAGCCACGTGACCGCGCAGAGGAGAGCGCGCCGCCGCCATGATAAGTGCGGGCAGGGAGGAGGCACGTGGTCAGTGGAAGGTCACGTGTCCTGGCGATCGCCCCTCCCCCAATCCGGACATAGACCAGGAGATTGCAGCCATCCATCCAACCGGGACTCGGCCTCACTGAGCTCCTCCCACTGGGCGGTCCTCGGATCTTTCAGCTCCTCCCCGTCCAGTTCTATAAACCTTTCCCTTCTCCTGACATCCATTAGCCTGCACCTGTGACGTCATCACTGGGCCCCTGTGTCTCTCTATGCAATGCAGGCAGATCGTGGCTGCTGGGAGGGGCCAGCAGGGGGCTGAACTTACCTTCCTGAACACATTCCAGCCCCCACCCTCAGTCCTGATACACCAGTTATGCAAATTTTAAAATATCTTGATGGGTGGAGTCAGACCGGAGGAGAGGGCGGTACTAGGCAGACTGTTTTTGCTTAGGTAACGCCCACATGTGATGCTGAGCTTCAATGATTGACAGATCTTAAATCCAATGAAGGAAAGGGGCGGGGCGAGATGGGGAGGAAAGTGCTAGATGATGCTGGGTGTCCTCCAGACAGGAAAAGAGGCGGGCTCCTGTGACTAAAAGGGGTGGGGCCAGGGACAGTCAGGTTGGGGAGGAGAGTGCTAGATGATGCTGGATGTCCTCCAGACAGGAAAAGAGGCGGGCTCATATAAATGAAAGGGGCGGGGCCAGGGACAGTCAGGTTGGGGAGGAAAGTGCTAGATGATGCTGGATGTCCTCCAGACAGGAAATGGGGTGGAGCTCCGTCTGACTGGCTGCAGCATGGCATGATACCACCGCCCAATCCCAGGGACCATACATGTGTCATATGGGAGGCGGCCTCGCTGATCACATGGTAGACATCTCCGCCCATGTGGGCCGGACCTCCTCCATCAGACCCCATTACTGGCTGTCCTTGTAGAGGAACTCCAACGGTACTGGAGACCACCCATGAGGAGCAGTAATGTGGGGGAGGGTCTATGGAAGTGTCCACCATGGTTCAAGCCGGCCCCCTCCATCGGGGTATTGGAGAACTCTGACTCCACCCAGAATTATAAACAGGAGCGGGATACTTTACAGAGATAACTCCACCCCTCAGAGATAACCCCACCCCCATCCAATCACTGCAGATCTCCTCCCACCACTAACTCATGGTCATTATACGGCCCTGATGAAGCCGACACAACACCAACCGTACATCTCACAACCGGAACCCCTCCCCCACCGTCTGCACTCCATGCAGTCTCATATTTCACGTCTCACTATAGATGAGACCCGTCTTCAGTATATGATTGGTCCATATCCAGTGATGGTTGCTGGTTGGGGGCCGGATTCTGGTCTTCCTCCAGGAGGGGCAATGATGACTTGATGTGTCCATCTGTGGACCAGACCATCCCACCAGAAAAAGTCTGAGGAGCCCCATACACCCCACCTGGAAGGACAAGTCTGAGGAGCCCCATACACTCCACCTGGAAGGACAAGTCTGGGGAGCCCCATACACTCCACCTGGAAGGACAAGTCTGAGGAGCCCCATACACTCCACCTGTGGACCAGACAATCCCACCGCCGATGGTCCTCCCCAACATCTCCACCTGGAAGGACAATTCTGAGGAGCCCCATACACTCCACCTGTGGACCAGACAATCCCACCGCCGATGGTCCTCCCCAACATCTCCACCTGGAAGGACAAGTGTGAGGAGCCCCATACACTCCACCTGTGGACCAGACAATCCCCCACCGCCGATGGTCCTCCCCAACATCTCCACCTGGAAGGACAAGTCTGAGGAGCCCCATACACTCCACCTGTGGACCAGACAATCCCACCACCCATGGTCCTCCCCAACATCTCCACCTGGAAGGACAAGTCTGGGGAGCCCTGTGACGGGAGTGACTTTGGTTGGGGGGCCCATGGAACACAGCACACTTTGGAGGGGTGGGGAGACCCCCTGTCTCAGCTCCCCATATCCCTCTTATGTCTCTTAGGGGTACAGGGAGACTGATGGACGCTGGGAATGCGGTTGGAATGACTTCAGATGGGACAGTAATATTTATCAGCCACATGAAGACTATTCCTGGTTGTTGATTCTGAACTGAAGGAGCTGACCACACCGGGCTCTCCTCTACTCCAGTGTAGGAGCCGGACCGTCTGCTCTGTAGTGAGATCCTAATTCATCCAACCATTGTCTAGGTGTGATTGGTGTCGGCATGTTCGAGGGCCCTGCTCCTTGGAGCTTACAATCTAGGAGGGAGGGGATGGTGGTACAGGAGAAGATAGCTGTGGGGGATGGGGTGGTAGGAGGAGTGGAGGAGGTCGGCATGTTAGCAGGGGTGGGGTAGGCTTCCCTGAAGAGATGGGTTTTCAGGGTGCGCCTAAAGGAGAGGAGAGTAGGTGATAGTCCTGATGGGTTGGGGTAGGGAGTTCCAGAGGATGGGTGATGCCCTGGAGAAGTCCTGGAGGCGGGCATGGGGAGGAGGAGACCAGGAACTAGAGAGAAGGAGTCTTGTGAGGAGCGGAGTGTGCGTGTTGGGCGGTACTTGGATATTAGGTCAGTGATGTAGTTTGGGGCAGTATGGTGGACGGCTTTGTATGGAGGCCAGTGGAAGGATTGGCAGAGGGGGGTGGAGGACACTGAGTGGAGGCCAGTGGAAGGATTGGCAGAGAGGGGGGTGGAGGACACTGAGTGGAGGCCAGTGGAGGGATTGGTAGAGAGGGGTGGAGGACACTGAATGGAGGCCAGTGGAGGGATTGGTAGAGAGATGTGGAGGACACTGAATGGAGGCCAGTGGAGGGATTGGTAGAGAGGGGTGGAGGACACTGAGTGGAGGCCAGTGGAGGGATTGGCAGAGGGGGGTGGAGGACACTGAATGGAGGCCAGTGGAGGGATTGGCAGAGAGGGGTGGAGGACACTGAGTGGAGGCCAGTGGAGGGATTGGCAGAGAGGGTGGAGGACACTGAGTGGAGGCCAGTGGAGGGATTGGCAGAGGGGGGTGGAGGACGCTGAATGGAGGCCAGTGGAGGGATTGGCAGACCCCCCCCCGCTGGGGGGTGGAGGAGGGGGTTGAGGACTGAATGGAGGCCAGTGGAGGATTGGCAGAGGGGGTGAGGACACTGAATGGAGGCCAGTGGAGGGATTGGCAGAGGGGGGTGGAGGACGCTGAGTGGAGGCCAGTGAAGGGATTGAAGGGATTGGCAGAGGGGGGTGGAGGACGCTGAATGGAGGCCAGGTGGAGGGATTGGCAGAGGAGGGTGGAGGACACTGAATGAGGCCAGTGGAGGGATTGGCAGAGAGGGGGGTGAAGGACACTGAGTGGAGGCCAGTGGAGGGATTGGCAGAGGGGGGTGGAGGACACTGAGTGGAGGCCAGTGGAGGGATTGGCAGAGGGGGCTGGAGGACACTGAATGGAGGCCAGTGGAGGGATTGGCAGAGGGGGGGGGGGGGGGGGGGTGGAAGACACTGAATGGAGGCCAGTGGAGGGATTGGCAGAGGAGGGTGAAGGACACTGAATGGAGGCCAGTGGAGGGATTGGCAGAGGGGGGTGAAGGACACTGGTGGAGGCCAGTGGAGGGATTGGCAGAGGGGGTGGAGGACACTGAATGGAGGCCAGTGGAGGGATTGGCAGAGGGGGGTGAAGGACACTGGGTGGAGGCCAGTGGAGGGATTGCAGAGGGGGGTGAAGGACACTGGTGTGAGGCCAGTGGAGGGATTGGCAGAGGGGGGTGAAAGGACACTGAGTGGAGGCCAGTGGAGGGAATGACAGAGGGGGGTGTCTGGTTGGGGGGAAGACAAGAAACTCGGTTTTGGAGAGGTTCAGTTTAAGGAAGTGGAGTGACATCCAGTCTGATATGTTGCTCAGTAGGTGTATGATTCGGGCGGAGACCGAGGGGGTGAGGTGGGGGGCGGAGACTGAGGGG